AAAATGAGGACCTAATGCCGGGGGCTTAAGTGGAGAGGAAATATTTTGAGAATGATGAGGGCAATGAATGTACAAATGCGCTTTACGCAATTGATGTGTGTATGGATTGTGATGAGTTGTATGAGCCCCTAATAAAGTGATTTTTTTTTAATCTACAATTTAATTTGAGAGCGAGGTCTTTTTATTTTAGGTCATACACAAAGTAAAATCAAAGTAATTTCAAGAGATTTTTGGCAAATGAATTAGACGCATAGCTAAACCTTTCAGATGTTTTATTGCTCTGCAGGAAAGAAAGGCAATAGAGAAAGCATCCAACTGTCTTGTGTTATGTCAGTGTTGCCACTACAAAAAAATTGACATTGCTTGCCTGTGTAAGTGTCAAGGCTTCATTCTTGGCTGCATGCTGAAAATGTGAGTAAGTTAATAGAGGAGACGGGGGTGGGGGTGGGGGGGGCACTGGTTGCTAAAGAAGTATTAACAATACTGTCCTACAGGGTTAAGAACATATGGAGAAGTAAAATTATTGCCACAATTTTTAAAAACAGATGGTCATGGTACAAGGTGTTAAACTGTTCAAAGTTCTCACATTATTTAGGATGCAGCATAATTCTAATGTAAGGCATCTACTATAGGGAACATTTTACGATTTCTAGAGAAGCGCTAAAAGAATGACACTTAGAAACATCACAAAAATCAAATAGGGCAGATAAAAGTTTAAAATAATACAATAAAGAGAATCGAATCCTAAGATTAAAGATGGAAGCAACAAAAAACAAACAGCAAGATGGTAAACTTAAGACTCGAGCACATGCCAGAGATCACAAGGTTAGTGGACAAATTCCATCATCTTTCAATTCCATTTTTCCATGAACTTCTTAAAGACCCTCATATTAATAATGACATTAAATATAAATCGACTTAACACTACAGTTTTAAAATTATCTGACTAAATTTTTTTTAAAAGCAGAATCCAACTATATGCTACCTAAAAGAAAACCCACTTTAACTCTAAAGACATGGCAAGAAAAAAGGGGAAAAGATCTGCCAGACAAATACTGCCAGGTGTGAAAGGCGATCCTGAGGTTCACATCAGACATAGTAAACTTTACCATAAGAAATGAGATATTTCATGAAAGTAAAAGTCACCTTAGACTGATAAAGGCGGACTGCTCCGTACAGATCGACAGCCTCAGAAACCCAAGGAACAGTTCTACTCTGTCCTATAGGGTTGCTATGAGTCAGAATCGGCTCAATGGAAGTGAGGGTTTGTTTTTGTAACTACTATGATATCTTCAAAATGTATGGAATAAAACTGACAAAACTAAAAGAAGAAATAAAGAAATCCAGAGTTGTAATTGAAGATTCTCACCTGCGTCACCCACTAATGTCAGAACAAACAAACTGCAACGAGGACTCAAATGTGCTGCCCAACACAAACCCACTAGGCACATACAGCGCTGGGTGTCTGAGACGGCTCGTCTGGGTTGAAATGTGTTGTAAGGGGCAAAATGCACACTGGGATAAAGACTTAGCACAAAATAAAGAATGTATATGACCTCACCCACCCTTTCTATTGCATACAAGTTGAGAGGATATCTTGGATCTGAATGTAAAACACAGTATGTGGATTACATAAAACACACCAATGCATTTTTGGTCATCACTCCAGCTTGAATTATTCTACCTATAAGATGCAGAGTAAAAAACTAACCAAAATAAAAAAGGAGTGTGCCTTTCAGACCAGAAACGCTTTTGAGAGTAAGAAAACAAACAATGAGATCCTTTTTATACATCAGTCCCTCTGCCACTGCCGTCTGGGACAAGCAAGTCACAGCACCAACGCAGTGAGATGTGCTCTGAGCACATCTGTGCTTGCTCCACTCACCTCCACTTTGCCACCTTGGGTTTCAAGAAGGTCAGGCCCAGCCGCTGTGCAAGCTTCACCCCAAGTTTCCGGAGGAGGGTCTGGTTGCTCTCTGCGAGTCTGCAGTCACTGAGGCACTTGAGAACGGTGGAGGCTGAAACAATACGTGACTCGGCATGGTAGGAAGGGTCTCATACAACTGCCAACCGCCTCACTAGTATATGCATCTAGGGCTCAAAGACCACATGCACTCGGCAGACCCACACGTGCTCCCCACATGAGCAGCACATCTGAAAGTCAGCAAGAGAAATCAGAGTGCTTCAGAGGGATGGACTTTTAGGGAGAGCAGCTAAAATGTTTGTGGCAGGAGTCAAGGAACACCAACAGCATGAAGACGGTGGACACACAAACCTGAGGCACAGACTCACACACAGCCCCATGTGGTAGGCTGGGGCTCACAAAAGGAAGAGGCAGGAGGGGCGCCAGAGGAGGAGGACAGAGGCCTGGAGGGCAGGGGGTGAGGAACAGAGTCAGCAGGGAGGACATCCGTGGTCCTTGGAACAGAAACAAGACTTGGAGATGTAGTGCATATGGCAAAGGAGGACAAAGGGGGGGGCAAGGATGAAGCAGAGACTCAGCCTGCAGCATGGCCTGAGATGTGGACAGGACCACGCCCAGAGTTCATCCAGGGGTCGCTGAGCCAGGGGAGGGGTGCGAGTGCGCACAGGTACTGGCTGTGCTCTTTGGACACCTTTACCTCAGAACCAAGTTGTCACAGCCATACATGAAAGTCATGCATTGCTCGGGATCTGCATGTGTACGTTCACAGTGGGGTCACCTCATAGCAAGAGTGCAGGCCAATGGGCAGCCACAACTCGGGAGTACTGGGTGTGATGGAGCACCAAGTGCTTGTCTCACAGGGGAGCACACTGAAATGACAGGATGCTGGGGGCCGGAGGGGCTACAGTGAAGCAAGGTTAGCCACTAATTCATTCTGAAACTTAGATAGAAATCAGGGGGCACGGGTTCACCACACCAGTTTATTCTTTTTTTTTTTAATCGTTTTATTGGGGGCTCATACAACTCTTATCACCATACATACATACATTAATTGTGTAAAGCACATTTGTACATTCATTGCCCTCATCATTCTCAAAACATTTCCTCTCCACTTAAGCCCCTGGCATCAGCTCCTCATTTTTCCCTTCCCTCCCCGCTTTCCCCTCCCTCACAATTCATTCCTTACCTAAGTTTGAAATGTCCACAATAAAACTGCTGTGACGACTGGACATAGAAATGCAGTCATCGAGAGGGGAGCGGGGAGGGAGGGGGGAAAAATGAGGAGCTGATGCCAGGGGCTTAAGTGGAGAGCAAATGTTTTGAGAATGATGAGGGCAATGAATGTTCAAATGTGATTTACACAATTAATGTATGTATGGATTGTGATAAGGGTTGTATGAGGCCCTAATAAGATGATTTTTAAAAAAGATAAGAAATGCAGTCACTGTCTACAGCGCAGACTGAAGGCCAGTTCTCATGGCCCAGGTACCGTGCCTCATCTCCACACACATGGTTCGAATGAGGCAGAGGTAGGGCCAAGGGGCAGGATGACCCCAGTGCCAAACACAGAGTGCATGGAATCAGGGCAGCATGAAACACCTTTGCCTCCACTACAAGACCCTTCGCAATCTCCTAAATTCCTGATGTTACTAAAAGTCCGATTATTATCACATACACAGGCCAGTGAATGGAGGGAACTAGGCTGAGGTGTAAGGGTGCCATGATTTTGACACCTTTAAACCAGACGTCAGAAGATACCCCTAACACAAGCATGCATGCAAACTCTCAGAATAAACCTTACCATACGGCAAACAATCGTCACGTTTTCCATGTTTAAATATCTGTGCCTAAAAATGAGAAAAATACATTTTAAGTGTTACAAATACATGAAAAAGTTAAAATATAAGTGATCAGAGCATTATACTGCACCTTCCAGAAATCCTTACTCATCGCTAAATCACAAAAGAACAGCTCAGGGCATGACAGAGAAAGGGGTTATGAGAGGCTTTGGAGGTACTCTCCCCAGGAGGCCAGGCAACAGTGAGGAACAGAGAAACAACAAAGGTCAGCGCTGGGCCATGGAGGTGAGCACTGAGCTCACCATCGGGCATCCCAGCAAGGAGCCAAGATAACGGCCAAGACTCAATCTGCACAAGGAGACCCTGGAAGGAATCCCAAGGACTTTTAATGGTATGCACGAAAACAGAGACCAACAGGCTCACAGGTTACACGATGGATGCCACACAAAGTGGTGACCCAACATTCCCTCCTCCCCTGCTGCCCCAGGTATTATTATCCAAGCCCAGAAGCAAGGTGGTCATGGACTGACCACTGCCCCCCGCCCCAAAGGCTGACCCTCAGCTAAACCATCACAGGTACCAGGTGTTCCCAGGGGTCCCTGCATTGACTCACCTCCCCACGCATGCAGGCACTGCCATCACACCTACAGACCTGACCACAAACGAAAACCAAGGCCACTGACATCAAGTCCATGCTAACTCACAGTGACCATGTAGGACAGAGCAAAGCTGCTTCCTAAGGTTTCCAAGGCTGTCCATTTTACAGCAGCAAACAGGCTCAACTTCCTCCCAAAGGGCAACTGGTAGGTTTGAATCGCTAACCTTGCACCCTCAAAATTCACAGCCCAATGTATAACCCCTCACACCACTGTTCTTCACCCTCCAAACTTAGAACAGACGCATCTGACCCCTCCAGCCAGGAGGACATCAGGCATCACTATAGTGCTGACTGCAGGCAGCCCTCCCTCCACCTTGAATTCCACAGGACAAATGCGCCTCCTACAACAGTGCCCACGCCCCTTACTCAGGGCACCCTGGAGCCACAAGCATTAGACTACCGCTGACAAAGTCTTCTCAGGTGAGAGCAGCTGCTGCTGCACATACACGACGTCCCCAGGCCAGCTAACCCTGGGAACCACCTCAACAGAAGAACAGAGCTGTGCTGTCAGGGCCACTACCAGGTGGACAGAAGGGCAGTAGAAAGGAGACCCAGGCCCGGGACCTGAGTCACCTCAGCACCACAGGGACTCTGGAAGCTCTGAGGGTCTGCCTGCTCAGAGGCATAGGGAGACCGCCAAAGCACGTGCTACAGAGCCCTGCTCAACACCACACTCAGCAGCCCACCACCACAATGCACACACCTGGTCAAAGTCCCTCAGACACATGATTTTCACAACCTTCGGAAGAACAGACACCACATTCTGCTCTTTCTCCCACGACTTCCCCCCGAAACCATGAGCCAACAGATGGACTGCAGCCTGGCCTCTCAACACACACGAGGACACCTAGGACCTGCCTGACAGCTGCCCAGTACCCAGACATCAGGGTGGGGCCCACGCACCTGCCATGTGCTTCCCCTCGCACCCTCCTGTCAGAACCTGGCAAATCATCCCCCACGGTGTCACTGTGCTGTCTTGACACCTAAACTCCCAACTGCCCACTGCTGATGCAGGTGTGTGTGGCGGGGAATTTTCCAAAAGGAGAGTAAAAAGGACCTAAGCAATAAACAAATAGATCACGACATCAGAACTGAGGAAGAAAGCTGTACTTTGTTCCGAAAGGACACTGTGTTACGTGTAAGGAAGAGACTCCTTGCACCCCTCTGCCAAATCCCCTCTGCAAGGACAAGCCCTGCCCCCAGCCCTGCCCACAGAAGGCACGTGCCTGGGAATAAGACGGCAGCTGCGCAATGCCACCAGGTTGCGGAGCAGGTGCCATACACCAAACCCATGAGCACTGCACTCAGGAGCCAGGCGAGGGGCTGCAAGGCTCCCCCTGCAGGCTGGGGTGCCTGCCACCTGTGGCCGTGGTCAATCCCTGTTTAGATTCTACCTTTACAGTAGCACACTGGCTGGCGGCAGCATGGAGGAGACCCTGATGGAGGGAAGCTTTTGAAGCTGCCCATGTGAGGCTGATTAGAAGAGTCTGCCAGAATCCTAGGGATTGGGGGGAGAGGGAGAGGTATCAGCAACTGGCTCTTGGTCTCATCCACTAACTAAATATCTTCCAAATTCCTCATGAAGTGTAATACCACAGCATTGTGATGGCAAGCACAGCTTGGGCAGAGACACATCCCAGGAAGCTTCTCTTCTTAGGCCAGTTTGCACTAACAGCACAGCCATTCACACAGTCTGGACTGAGGAGAACATGGTTTATGGGCACACATTTTCCCCCAACCCTGACAAAGAAGCTGTTCCCACAAGGATCTCCAGAAGGATCTGGCAGGGACACTGGGCCCCGGGGAAAACTCCAGGGCACTGCCTCCTGGTACTGGGCTTGCAAGGGGAAAGGGACAAGAGGAAGGAGCAGAGCCCACAAAGACAAGGTCACAGGTTTGTTTCCCACAAGCAAGGCCTGTCCCCACTACCTCCCAGCCTAGGACACATGCATTGGAACCAGCAGGCCTAGAACCCGGAGAGGAGTGGAGAGGAAATGCCAGGTCTCAGAGAGTGAGTGGTAAGAGGGATGTGAACTTCACCCTTCATGCAAGACTAAGCTTAAAGCATTCTGCTGAGAAGTATATGCTCAGTACACACAGTGATGCCACTTGCACAGGAGAGACAATCCTGCCACAGAACTACTGACAGGCAATGATCAGGTCTGTTTTTGTTGTTTTAGGAAATAACCCAGAATGAGGTACAAACAGGAAGAGTGTCTCCATGGCCTCCCAGAACCACGCCTGGCAGCTTCCCCACCCGAGCCCAGGTATCCCAGTGTGCAAAGCCGCTTCCCCTCTCCAGGGCATATTCTCCAGCCTGTCTGGCGACGAAGCAAGTTTGGCTGCCACGTAGGAGGTGCTGGTTTGAGGCTCCCTGAAGGCACTGTCCCATCAGGGCCGAGACATGCAGCCCCACCCATAAAGGCCCTCCCACCAGCCGGCCCAAAGCAGTGCCCACTGGGGACTCAGGGTCTCAGACACCCACAGGCTCTCAGGACAGAGCAGGGTGCATGGCTGGGACCCTGTCGGAGCAGTAGTGTGCACACAGTCCTGCTCAAAGTCAGGAAGATAGGACATTATAAACCCCAGAGAGATGAACAGAGCTTCCCTGTTCGCCTCAAACTATTTCAGTGCGAGAACACCCACAAGCACAGCTACAGAGGTACTCTGAGGACAAGCCACTAACAAAGGTGGGCAAATGCAGACACCTGGTGACTCAATATGACCACAGCAGGTGTTAAGGAGGGAAACTCAGGTGTGCCTCAGAGCACATACTTCAAAGAACTCATGCCACAGCACTGCCTGTCCATGAAAATCACCACGCTGGCTGGAATTAAGACCACATCGGGTTAGCTCTCAACATTTGTGTCCAACCCAAGAAGGAAAGGAATCGGCATTATTTCAGCACCTCCCTTCACCTGGCTACACAAAAGCACAAGAATGTGCACCGAACACTCTCTCTGAAGAGTGTGTGTCCCAGTATTCACACCATACTTCCTCCCCAACAGCTCCCCTCCCTGGCCCCCCCCCTCAGTTCAGTCACAGCCAAGGAGGTGTGGACAACCTGTGCTCAGGCCACACTAAGCCCTAGTGAGGTACAGAGCATGCTATGCCCCAAAATCATAGGGAAGAGGGCCATGGCTGCCGAGAAAGGTTCTGAGGACTTAGCTCATTCCTTTTCATCTTTATAGGGCGTCCTGGACCCTAATTAGTGCCCTGCTACTGCGAGGTAAGGCGTGTTTATTGCTTCCCTTCCATGGAAGAACTGGAGCAAGGCCTCACTGGCACCCGGGGTCAGAGCGAGGTGGAGTCAAGTTGCTAAAGTGCGCCCCAGGCTGCACTCTTACCAACAGAACCTCCCGGGGGCACCGAGGCTGGACTAACAGCGTGGCTGACACCAGGCATGTTTTCGAACACACTACCCGATGTGTGGGCAGCTTATTCAGCAGCCATTCACACTGGGCTGTCAGAGGGGCTGGCTCACCTAGTTTTTACACTGCTGTGTGTGACTGACTTTTCCTTCAGCAAGGTGAAAGCACTGATCAGTGATTAGAACAATGAAAAGGCAGGCAGCAAATAGGAGGGTTGGCTACTAGGTTAAGGTATCCAGATTTTAAAATTGGTAAAGTGGAACACCATTGATAAAACTCATATCCTAGCGAAATAGCCACATGGCAGCCCAAAACCGTATATCCTAGCTTGTTGTGCATTGTTTCCAAAAATCGGGACTTTTTTAAAATGCCGCGTGACAAGGGAAAAATTGTTAAAACTCAGGACTGTCCAGCCAAAAGCGGGATGTCTGGTCACCTTATACTAGGTGCACTAGCCGTATGTCAGTGTGCATGGGGGGGGCTGCCATCACCAGCACGAGGAAGGGATCCCACTGGAGATGGTGGCCAGAGTCTTTTTTCTTCTCTCTTTTGTGTGTGTGTGTGTGTGACCAGTCTTCATGTCCTTTCTCCACTGTTAATAGGGCTTTTTCTTTCCTCAATGTCCTTAGCTCTCATTAATGGCCAACCAACAAGAAACCAGAAGGTTTCGAAGCCCAGTGTGGGGTCTTCAGAAAGAGACATTGGCACACACTAGCTCCCTCCTTCTAGTCAGGGATCACCACCACAAGGGCTGGGCTTGACTTCAAGGGCAATCAAACCGAGGAAGGCCTGGTTTCGATGCTACTTGTTAAGAGCTCACCTGGGTTGCCCACACTAATGAACAGGTGGATAAAGACCAAGCCAAGGGCATCAAAGGAAGCAGACGAAGCCCTCCAGCTCAAAGCACCTGCGAGTTTCGTCACGCAGGAGGCACCGCCTCTGCAGCTCAGGTCTGACAGGCTGTGGTGAAATCACTCTCCTCTGCCCCACCCCCCACCCCGAGGAAAAGGAAGCGCCTGACTCAGCCGGCCTCCACACCAGAGATGGCCTCAGGCCAGGCCTCGCCATACAGTGGGGTGCAGGGCCGATTTCAGGTGCTGTGTCTGCAGGTCTCAGCTCTGAGGTGCTGGGGCGGTGGGGGGGGGGGCGAGGGAGGGTTTACTTTGAGAGAATCTCTTCCTTCTTTCTCTTTCATCTGTACTTCCCCAGCCCTGGATGGTTTAATTCTGTTCAAAGGAGTCACAATCCCTGAAAACAGCTCCCGAGCACAAGAACCCTAGGGAGGGGAACACACCTTAGGATCGTCAACCATTAGAGATCCAAGGAGCAAATTGAGGGTGGGCAGGCAGAGGTAGAGTTGGGCAGGAAACAGGGAGGATGTGGGATATGTGGTGGCCCGTTCAAGAAATTGCATATGAAATATGAAGCAAAGCGTGTATGATTTCTTGAATGTAAAACTGATCATCTGCTCTGCAAACCTTTACCCAGTTCATAATAAAAGTTAGAAGATAAACCAGCTCTGAGAAGAGTGGGCCAGCGTGCTCCCCAAGGGCACAGAAGCACGCTGGTGCTCCTGGTCATTGGTAACCTCAATGACTCTCAGTCAGGAGGGTGAACGGAGACTGGAGTCCCAGAGGAGAAGGGACGACTGGAGTCCCAGAGGAGAAGGGACGCACAGTTCCCAGACTCTCACTGCTCTTGGAATTCAAGGGTCACTCCAAGCACAGAAGGGGTTCATTTTCTTGATCCTCTACTGACTGAGAAAGAAACTACCGTAAGTTTTCTGTGATGAAAATCAGTCATTAATAAATTGGCCAGACCTAAATGTTGGCCAAACTTGGATACAGTTCACCAGAACGGTGGTAGAGTCACCTCCCACAGAGAAAAGAGAAAAGCCATCTTTTCTAAAATAATTGTTTGCAAGTCTCAAATACCATGCTAATTAACAGGCTCCAGGGCCCTCCACCTCACAGATGGGTCCCAGGTCCCCACAACTGCCAGGTCAGCCCCCACTCCAAGACAGGGAGGCCTGGCACCCCACTGGCACCCCCTCCCACGCCATCTGCCCCACTTTCCACACAGCCTCTCCCCTCCTACGCCTCATCAGGAGCCACGGCAGCCAAAGGAATGCAGAGGGGACGACTCCAGAGGTGACACCATCAGAGCTGCCATGCCCTACAGCCAGGAGAGGGCGGCCCCACCACCCAGGCTTCCAGGAAAGAAGGGCTGCCTGCAGACCACGGGGCCCAGGCAGCAGCTGTGCTGAGGACTCACAGAGGGTACAGGGGAGGGGTAGATGAGAGGGTCTGGCAGCCTCGGAGACCCCAGCTGGCTGACCTGTGCCACTGAGCCATCACAGAGCCAAAAGGCAGCTTTTCATCCTGTTGTATAAACACAGGGTCGCTGTGGTTCAGAACCAACCCCATGGCAGCTCACAACAGGAGGTGCCACAAGTCAGCTCAGCCACAAATACAAACAGTGCTGCCCTCTGGTGGTAACATGCTACCATCATCAGACCCCTGGTGCCTCTGTCTGGAATCACCATCGCCACCCTCTGGCCTCAGGAGGAAGGATATTTCCTGCTTGGTCCAATTGAGGCAGGACTAAACACCACTCTCAAGCGCCTGCTGGGCACCTCATCAAGGCCTGCCTCTCCCTGTTATGTGACAGTCCCCCACCTCCCCCACCTCACCAGAGCCCGTTGGCTTCCCATAAAAGTGACAGCCCTCCACTGCCCACCAGGCGCTCACCAGAGCCTGAAGCACACCGTCCATGGCGATGGTCCCCTCAATGGTCTGGAAGGAGGAGTGGGCCAGTGTTCGGAGAGTCCAGTCCAGGAAGGCGGCCATCTTCTTCTGCTTGACGTCCGGACGTGTAATAAACCTGCCGAGAAAATGAAATTTGGAGCCCAGGCTACCAGTTCAGCCATGGCCTCAGCACAGAACCACTGGGTCTCTTTCCAGAGCTCCAGTATCACCTCACTGGCACGCAGCAAGGACCCCCCAACACGGGTGCTGGTATGGTGTGGTAAGTGCCACTTGACACCCACTCCATGTAAGCGACTTTCTTCTCTGCGCCAGCTTCCTCTCATGGAGCCAAAGCGCTCATCCATCAGGAGATGGAACACTGCCAGCAACCCGCGAATCTCTTTCAAACACACAGACCCAGTCCTCTCCTCTCCCACCCAGGGACCCTTCTACCTGTACCTCGCACCACAGTCCTGTCTACATGGCTGGTGGTCTCCCCCAGGCTCAAACTTTCTGTGGGAGTTGGACCCCACGTCTCGGGCATGCCCTGGGCCACTCTGACCAAAACTCAGGCAGCTCCCACGCACACACGCCCTCCCTCTCACTCCTAGTGCACTGCACACAGAGGAACAGGACTTGGGGCTCCCTGTTCCTATCTCCCAGCATGAACACCAGCCCCAGCACTGACCGCCCCTCAACCCCAAACTCAGAAACAGCAGAGTCCCACCGCATTCAGCACCAGGGACTCAGGCTTTCCCCACACAATAGAACCAAACATCCATTGGTGGCGGCAGCAGGAGGAACACAGGAAAGTAACCCACCTCACAGCTGACCGCCAAGACCCACTGCCACAGCCTCATCTGTCACCATGACTGCCACCACTAACTACCCCAAGTCAGAGCCCTTCACAGAGAATAATCATACAGAAGAAAAAAAACAGCCATTCAGGAACTCATAGATATTAAAAGTCCATTCACAAAGCAGGACAACCATCAAGTGTTAGAGTGTTTAACATACCAGTAACCAAGCATATACAAACACTCTAATTGAAAAGCCCAATGTCTCAACATAAGCCTTTAACCGGACTCTGAGTGGCCTGGTGCACTCAGACCAAGCTGAGGTGTGTGGAGGCAGCATTGGGAGCACAGACTGATAGCACAGTGGCCTCATGCCCTGTGGTCGATGCCAAGGAAATAACCCCCAAAACCAAAGTAGGTTCCCATCACAACATGCACTGTAGTCACCATACAAAGAGATATCACACACATCCTTTTAGAATCCCATATGGTTTTTGAATGTCATTTTCCACATCCCAAATTTCCATTTTTCTATACAAAGCAGATCTGGGCTTTTACAATTAAAAGAAACACGTTCCTTTCTAGAATTTAACGTTATAAGAAGAATATCAAGTGCCACTGAACTGGTTCCAACTCACAGGGAACACTACCTAGTCATGCACCCTCACACCTGCTATGTTTGAGCCCACTGCTGCAGCCACTGTGCCCATCATCTCATTGAAGCTTCCACTTCTCTCTCCACTGAGCGTGATGTCCTTCTCCAGGGACTGATCCCTCCTGTTAGCATGTCCAAAGCATATCTGCCTAAATCTCACCATCCACGCTTCTAAGGAGTATTCTGGCTGTACTTCTTCATAAACAAATTGGCGAATTCTTCTGGCAGACCATGTTAAATTCAATATTCTTTGCCAATGCCATAATTCAAAGACATGAATTCTTTGGTCTTCCACATTCACTGGAAATACCATTACTTGGGTCAGGTGCACCTTGGTCCTCAGAGTGACATCTTTGCTTTCTAACACTGTAAAGATGTCTTTTGCAGTAAATTTATCCAATTAAACATGTCATTTGATTCTGATGCATGGGCATTGATTGTGGAGCCAAAGAAAATTAATTCCTTGACAATTCATGCTTTTCTCCATTCATCATGAAGTTGCGTATTGGTCCAGTTATGAGGATTTCTATTTTATGTTGAAGTGAAATCCATACTGAAGGCTGAAGTCCTTGATCTTCATCAGTAAGTGCTTCAAGTCCAATTCTCACATCACATTCTTCACATAGTCCAGCTTCTGAACTGTCCAACTTCTTAATTATTTGCTCAGGACATAGGATAAATAAGCATGGTACAAGAATGTAAGAATAAATGCACGGTCTTCTATTGAAGAGTTTCTATGCTCCTAAGAACTGTCACCTTCCTAAAAGGAAAAGTGATCTTGGCACTACCATCTACAATGCCCTTAAAACATAACACAACTATTAGCAATCCACAATTAAAAGGCAGTCAGTGCCTTCCCCACACTGAATTACCAGTGGGAAGGCCCATGGCCACAGGGCTTCATCAGAGGCCCAGGAAGCTGTGTGGTATCTGGGACACCAGTGTAGACAACGATACATGCTTCACCCCCACAACCTTACTTGGACCAGCTGCCACTGGAGACACGACTGAGAGTGAGGGCAGACTGGGGCAGGCACACGTCCAGGGAAGCAGTGTGGTCCTGATGAAGCCAGCTCTCTGCAAACACTCTGGAATCAGCATGCTGCTGAAGTGAAGTAGGGCTGGGATGCCACACAGGCAAGGCAACAAGGCTGTGGCCATAACCAAGCATGCAACTTCTCGTTGGACCACAAGAAGGCACTGCAGCACCTCAACCACAACCCTGCAGGACACCGCTCCCGTCCCCTAGCAGGATGCCTCACCAAGCAAGCGCAGCAGGACTCCACCAAACCCTCAGCATTGCGGCTGGTAAAAAATCATAAGCAAATAATAAAAGCTGGTGTTTCACTGAACAAATTTGCAAAACTATTTATAAGACCACAGCCAGTGTTGGTAAATACAGGGGAAAGGGAACTTTGAATTGGTTCCACCTTTCTGGTAATCACATTCAGACCACACACACAAAACAAAAACCCGTTTCCACTTCAGAGAATCCATTGAGCAGGCAGCAGACAAGCACAAAGTTGTATGCAGATGCTCCAGGCAGTGCTGTTTTCACAATGAATTAAGAGAGTTACAAATGTCCAACAGGGGGACTGGTGAGATGGCAGTACATTCACACAACTAGGCAAACACACACACACACACACACACACACACAGCAGTTAACACTACAGTGCCAAAGTCACACCTCTGGCACTTAAAAGAACTAAACAAAGTCACAGTGTGTGTGTGAACAACACACCACACACAAAGATATGGCACACAAACATGACACACATAGAAACATGGCACACACAACACATGCATGCATGACATGCTGCAGGCACAACACTACAATGCCAAAGGAGTCACACCTCTGGATAAGGAAAAGGCATGTGGACTTTACTTGGTTTTCAGGCTTGTCTCATTTTCTAAAATACATACAAAGAGGCTTCAAAGAGTTCTAGGGAAAAAATTGCATTATCTTTTTTTTTAATTGCATTATCTTTTAATTCCATTTATTCATGAGCTTTTTGAAACTCCCTTGTATGATACCTCTTATAGTCAGAAAGAAACCCATCATTTTTTAATCCCTAACAAAATCCTACGGAACCTCTGCTCAGGGGTCTCTCCTCACCCAGGTGAACCCTGTACCTGAGCCTAAGTACAAGGTGACCCTGAATGAGATGCTGCCTATTTCCCCACTGACAATGTCCAAAAGTTTTAATGGCCAGATTGAAACTTTCAGAAACAGAGAAAGGAACAATCTCAAACCATATAGTTTATTAGACTAAACACATATTTAAATTATAGGCAAAAATAACATGCGAGCCTCCACATTTTAAGAAACAGACACCCCAGTCATCTCCCACACGGCAACCAGTCCTATGGCCAGCTCTCTGGAGATAGCAGGCACAGATCGAGCACCAGTGAACATGCCAGTTCCCCAGTCCCCAAGTGCAAGTAAGACCGCTGAGTAAAGAACTGCTCCTGGCACAGCCTGTAGGTGACTCCTGCAAGCATCCACACTTGCCCCAAAGGCAGCTATTTCTAGCTGGACACCTTTCTTGCCCAGTGGCACCAAGTGCTCTCAAAGGGCAGCAGTGCATGGAAACGCGCAGAAGCTCAGGCAGACTGCACCAGGACCACTGCTGTGTCTTCCCTCTGAGGACTCACACACAACACGCACATGATGCCCACACACAGATGCCACCTTCTCAGAAACCACGTACCCTGCCCCCCACCCTACAAGAGCCCACAGCCAACCCCAATCTGAAGGTGCAGAGGCTGTCTTCAACTCACTTGGACACAAGGACAGCAGCTGCATCTCGGGCCTTGTCGCTGACAACCAAATAGGACTGAAAAACAAAGGAGAAAGATGCATGCCACCCCAGCCTGGATGGGAAACACAACCAAGGCCCCCCACACAGGTCCAGGCAGAGCGGGCTATAAGCAGTGCCCCACCCCCATCACAGAGCCAGGCCCATAGGCTTAACTCCAAGCTGCACTTGAACCGAATGTTATACTTCCTCAGGTGCAAGCCCACTCTAGACAAAGCTACATCACTTGCCCTTAAAGCATAAGATAAGTTGGAAATAAAAGCTCACATTGGTCACCAAGTGTCAAGAAAGGCCACGCAACTCCATAGGCCCTTGGCCACATCAAGTCAGCACTGGGCTCAAGGGAACCCACTGCACCAGAACCACCCATACTGAGACCAATAGCACATTAGTGCTTAAAGCACTAGGAGTGACTCTGCAAATGGAAGGACCTTTACTTGGTACAAAGGCCCAAGCTTTTTTAAGAGGTCTCCATTTCTCATTTCTAGGAGGGTCTTCTCTGGAGTAGTGACAGGCTCAGCACCAACCCTATAAAGGCCAGGCTCCCTGGGACCTGGTAATCCCACCAACCAGACCAGGAATGTAGGTCAGCACACTGCTACCCACAGACAAAGCGGGAACCATCCACCGCTAAGAGATATGTCAAACATTTCTGCAGGGGGACCACCTTTTGCAATTAAAAGGACAAGCTGAAATCTACTTGCTAACAAGACAGAGAAGGACAAAGCACTGTTAAAGAGGGTACCGGACACAGAGCACTACGCCACAAGCCAATCTTGTAAATGCTTGTGTGGGACAGCACCCGCTTCGGAACCAGATTGCATGGACTCCAATCTGATCCTTCCATTTATGGCCAAAGAGAACCATTTGTTTCTTTTATGCCTGTCTTCTCCTCATTAAAACGAATATAAAAATAGTTCACAACCTCCTAAGTGAGCAACATAGGAAAAGTCTTTATAGAATAGGGCCTGCCATACACCAGGTATTCAATAAACACTTACCATTATAAGTGTGAGTGAGACTCTAGGAGACCCTTGATCCCACGCCCAGTGCTCATACTATGTGTAGCCTCTTCTGTGTGGGGGCAGACACGATGACTTGCTTCTAACCAACAGGATTTGGCAAAGGGGTAGGGTGTCACTCCCATGACTAGGTTACCTAAGGCTGTGACTTCTGTGTCAGTAGCACTCACTCTCTTACTGGTTTTAACGAAATGAGTTGTCATGTAGAGAGGCCATGTGGCAAGGACAGCCTCCAGCCCCAGGAAACTGAGAAACCTAGTCAACAGCCCTTGAGGAGTGGAAACCCGCCAGCAGAGGGCAGCATGCAGCTTATGGGAACTCTCAGCAGAGGAACCCCTAAAATAGCCCCAGCCTCCTGACTCCAAGAGTTTAAGGTGCAAAGTGTGTGCTGTGCTAAGTCACAAAATTTGGGGGGTTTTATGCAATAGGTAATTGATGCAGTAATCTGTTTATACACTATTTTCAGAAGGAAAAGTTTGAAAAATGTATTATCGGTGTTATCTCTTAGCACTGCAATTTGGGAGAGTTCAGTTTAATATTATTTCTTGCTTCTTTGTTTTCTAGTCTTCCTGCAATGATTACATATAGTTTATTTGATGTTAAAAAATTAATTTAATTATATGACATGGATAAAGTGCTAATAAAACTGTTAAAAAATAAATCTAAAATAGATCCCTCCTGCATTGCACCTAAAACCACTTATACATCACAACAGAGGATCTGCAAGTCTACAGAGAGATGGCCTTCCTCTAGGGTGAGCAGCCCAGCCTTGCATGAACCATCATGCTTTCAAAATGAACCACAGGACAGGGCTCTTCTTAGCTGAAGATGAGGAGCAGATAGAGAGGTCTAGAAAGGTCAAAAGTTTCCCTGGATATTAAACCCTGACGTCCAGGCAGGTGAGAAGAGCGCACTGAGTCTACCTCTGCGATTTGGAGAATATGGTCCATTATGGACATCCGTGCCGGCCCCGGTTGGGTGGTGAGGTTCCCGTCAAGCCGTGACAAATCAAAAGGGATCAGGCAGGTAACAGAGAGCCACAATAACAGCATGTAGCGGGTCTCCCAAGTCTAAAAGATTAGGGTTAAAAGCAAGCAACAGGTAAACACTTAAGTATCTTTTGATATGATTAAGAAAGACTGCTAAGAATGATCCTTGAATAAAAAGTACAGGTAACTGCCACATCCTATTCATAGTCCTGTCACCCACTCAAGTCTACTCAAGATGCCCACCTCCACTCAAAAACCCACTGCCATCAAGTCACCCTAACTTATAGAGAACCAACAGAACAGAGCAGAACTGCTCCACAGGGTTTCTGAGGCGGCAAATCTTTTTGAGAGCAGACAACCTCATTTTTCTCCTGAGGCACAATGGGTAGGTTTGAACTACTGACCTTGCAATTAGCAGTCCTACGCTTAGCCCAATCAACCATGATAGTTTCTCAATGCACACCCCATCCCTGAAACTGCCCAGGCCACCAAACTCATGTGGCGAGGCTGGGCCCAACCCTCCCTCTCAAGGGCACTGACAGAGCAGAGAACATCAGAAGTGAACACGGGAAAATCACAATCTGTCAGAAGAGTTTCTCCTCACTGGACCTTAACACGCAGCCCCCTTCAAGGAATGTCAAGAACGTACAAAAATGGAGAAAACAGGTTACAAAGGCCTCAAAATAGTGAAAACAAAATCTCACCAAAAATTAAAAAAACACCACACAATTTTTTAATTAAAATAAAAATATTTTAAAAAAATTTTTTATTTAAAAAAAAATTTTTGGTCAAGAGTCATTTTTAGTACACTAAGACAAGATTCTAGTGTGTCCCTGGAATCAATCCATGGGGGAGACCTTAAAAATAGAAAGGAACGAAGTACATTTATCACAGAAAGGTGGGAATTCTCACAGTCTGATTAAATTCGGAAGCAGCTCACTAGGAGTTGGGTCATGAGCACATGACTGCAAAAAGGGGTCAGCATGCAGGGCTGAGACTGCTACCCAGAAAGGCCTCATACACAGGTGGCCCCAGGCTGGCACAGGTGGCCCCAGGCTGGCATCTGGACACCTGGCTCTAGGAAGACACCCCCCCCCCC